TTAAAACCTTTACTGATCAATATGTTTACATAGTCAAGTGGATAGCACGCTAGATTTCTAATACGGAGGCCCTGGTTTAATTCCTATCTTTGACTTTTTTTTTTTTTTAAATTTAATCTGTTTTGATTTTTATAAAATACAAAATAAAACACATTTTAAAGAAAGAAGTTTGTTTTTAAAGAAATAAAGTTGTTTCGTTTCGCATTTTAAATAAATTAAAAAAAAAAAGAAAAAGTGAACTTGCCACACAACAAGGTAAACTTTTCTAAAATAGTAAGGGGGTTTAAAAAGTATGTTTTTAATTAGAACATAATCAATAGTTCTGATTCTATATTTAAAATAAACCATTTAATTAAATTAATAACTTTTAATGATAATGTAAAATTAATAAATATTCAAGTAATAAGGAAATTTGCAGCTATTTTAAAGCTGTTAAGGACTTTTACAGCTATTTTACTATGCCCCCATTAAGTAAACCGAGTGTGCAACAATGACAACATTTAGAAAACAATCAAAATAGTACTATACTCCGTATATTGGAAGAGTCAACTTGAACGCTAACTGACAATGATCTTTAAATGTGCACGCTAAAGCTTTTTTAATTCATTATTTATTATTAAAAGTTTTTGAAATATCTTTGTTATCATTATCAGAAATGATATAATTACTACTATGACAAACGAAAAAGAAAGAATTTTTTAAAAAGCTTTTAAAACTTCAAAATGCTGTTACACTTGACTTATGTGCATCACATTGGTTGCGCATATGTCATGTTAAAGATACTTACATTATTAATGTGCCTAACTAATTAGTTAAGTTTGCGCGTTTACATACATTAAAGAGTTTCTTAATGTGTGTTAAACTTTCTTACTTATAGAAAAAAAGATTTTACATGTCAATTTTGATTTTCTTTAAAATTATTGGGGCAATAGTCCAAATAAGCTGAGGATGGTCTGAAAAAAAAATAAATAATAAGATTCCTACCCGTTTTTCTGTTTTTTATAGAAGTTATATTATATATTGTATTATATTAGTTATATTATATATTATATTATAAATCGTTAAATCAAAACAAAGATTTTTTTATATTTTGCTTTTTTAAAATTTTTTTGAAATAAAGCAAAATTATTTAAATGTTCGGTATCAAAAGTAAACAATAAGTATAGTTTTTATATATGTATGTCGTTATTTTTCTGCCGCTTACTAAAAAATATTAAAGTTATGAATAAGTATAGAAAAGGTTGATATTGAATAAATTTGTCACGACCCGTATTTTACAGGTCAGGACAGGTAATATATATACATATTAGGTTTATGGCTTTCTTGTGACTTAATGTTCCTAAGTCACAAATAGATGAATATTTATACAAATGTAATGTAAAATAAGTTTATACAAATGTATTTGTTTTAAGTGTTGAATTTATTTGAATTTATTTTTGTCAATTTAAATTTACCATATGTGTATGAATAAAATTTAAAACAATATTTTGCGATATTTTTCAATTCTAATTTTTTGTTAGGAGAGTTATTATGTAGGTTTTAAGCATTTAACAATTTATTATTATATCATAACTCTCTTCATTACAAAAGCTGTATATATACTGTATATATATATATATATATTCTATATATCGAAAAAATGTTGTTTAGTATTTAGCTTTATTAGAACATAATATACAATTCTTACGCATTGTTAGACAAAGCAAATCTAAGCTGGAGGTTCTTTTTTTACAGATGTTAAAAAGATTTTGAGGACACTTGATTGCTTGTTCTGCACACTGAGTGTTGTTCTGATAATTTCAAGTTCCTAATTGCAAAACCTTTTCACTGAGTGTAACGCTTCTTTGTGAACAGTCATGCTGCTTTTGATAATCATCTGTATTTTACATTTGGTCAGTAAACCAATGGTTTGCCAATCTGAAAGAGATGAATCTACATTCCATCTTTATTATTTAATTTAATTATTTTCTAAAAGTTCATATTAGGAAATACTCCAGACTTTTAAAAAAACAGAGTACCCAAGTTAAATAAAATAAAAATTTCATATCATCACACCATTCTACTGTTTTAGCAATCACTTCTTTACCATTCTTGAAATTTTTCCTGTGCTGTTTTCAGTTCTTTAAAATTTTTGGGAAAGACAGTTATTCAATATTAGGCAACATGTTGTTTTCTCCAAGTTCTTCATCCATTACTACGCAAAGGACTCAGTTAAGAACATGATGTTTACAACCAACGAATTGTGGTTCTTCCATTTTCTATTCATAAAATGACTTTGTAACTGACTGTCAATACAATTTCTTCTTCCAGTGTTTACATTCGTAGCATCCACTACAATCATCTTACTTATACTCTTTCATAAATTGTGATCACCAAGAATAATTATTTATACCTTTAACATTTATACCTTTAATTATTTATACCTTTGACTAATATATTTACCATCAAAGTGCAGTAGCCAGCTTTCTAAATGAAGTGTTTTGTTCATTTCTGATTCAAGTTTAACTGCTTCTATAATAGTTAATCTGAATACACCAGACTGTTGTAAGTAAGCTTTTAAAATTACTACCTTTATAGTTAATTTAATTCAAACAGATTTTTTTTGAATATTAATTTTGTTATCCCACAGAAAATAGCATTTATTTAGACAAAGTTCAATTAATTTATGAATGAAAAAGAGAAAATGAATTTTAAAACGTTAAAACACCTTTGTTATGTAAGTTTGTTTCAGCTTTCTTCAGCTGTGAACTAAATTAACTTTAACTAACCAGTGGATGACCCTAGCAGAATTTCTCCAAGCAGGTAAGTCTTTCTGTTAATGTTATGCTATTCTATCCCTATTTATCAATTTCATTTTGTTCTCAACTCAAACTCAGGTCTTTCAAAAAAAATTTTTTTTTATGGATTTAGAGATGCATTAATGGCTACCTTAACACCTTCTTTTTTAATGATTGTCATTTTTTCATTTTCTTTTTTCATTTTTCTATATGCAGTACACTGGCTGCTTTTAACTTTATCAAAATCAACACATGATTGGTATAGAATTAATATATTAGCATTTATTACCTTCTGTAAACATTCTGGAAATACATCACAGGCTGTGAAACAATACCAGCATAAATTTCTTTTAGAATTTCTGCATTTACTGTATCTGGATTTTCAAAAACTTCTAAATGATACCAATCACCTGGATCAAAGACAGATTCAATTGAAGAATCCTCACTCTGAATTGTGTCTATAAGTTAATTCTTGTGTACACTATCTCTCAAACACTTTGGCTGTGAATAATTTTTCTTTATGGTGCATTCTTTTGCCTAATTTATAGAATGATTGTTATTAAAGTTTTTAATTTCAGAATCAGTGAAAAATTTTAAAATCAGAGGAACAGAGAATAAATTAACAAAGATTAAACCAGAGCTAAATTAATTAAAAAAGATATTTAATCAAAAGACTATTTTTTTTCTATACTTTATATCCTCTGAACCAATAAAAAACATTCTCTCACCTTCTTGATCTTCCAGAAATTTTAAATTTTCAATCTTGTCATTTATCAATCTTTTTTTTATCTTTACTGATCATGTTTTTGAAATTACAATTACCAGCCTTAAAAAGTTTTTTTATTTCAATCTCAAACTCGTTTTGTTTAATCTACCTAATACTGCTGGTTTTGCCTCTTTTGTAATAAAAAGTTTTTTTTTGATTGACTTTAGTTGTGCTTCAATCATTTTTAATATGTTTATTGTATGTACTAATCTAAAATCATTAGAAAATTCTAAACTGATAAGCTCTTAGAAGTTGCACCAAAGCATAAATATATAACAATAAGGATAACGATAAAATTTGAGAAAATCACTAGTTTTCTTGATTTCTATTACAAACAAACGAGACTTTTAGGGATAGTAAAAAAAAACATATATTTTAAATAAAAGTATAAGTCTAAATATATATAGTATAACAAATGAGTTTCATTAGTTTTACAGAACTTCCTTGATAATCCAAAATGTTACTGCCTCTAAAAACAAAATATTAAATTTTTCAATGAAATTGACTTAATACTATAATTGTAATAAGAAAAAAAACTCAATGCATTAAAACTTTTCCATTTTTATCTTTCATAGTTGGGAAAGAGGAGCTAACGTTTTGAATGTTAGTTTTTCGAATTACTAAAATTTTTTCTAAAATATCCTGATTTGTTATAGATAAGAACATATCCAAATAAGAAGTTTACTTAATGTTTGTAAGTTGATTATTTCAAATATTTAAAAAAACATCTAATGTTTAGTGCATTTCTCAGAGTGGATTGATAATGAGTCATCATTATTGGGTAAAACTTTGATTTTTTTAACTGTGTTCAAGACTTATAGGCTTATATACTATAGTTATAGTTGACAATAACAACTATTATTGAATTGTCTTTAGTTATTTTTATGCATGACTATTTCAAACTATATTTTCTGCCCTTAATCAATTCTATAAGCAGAAACAATTTAAAAAGCATTACTAAAAATACAAAATAAATTTTGGTGCATTTGACTTGGTTAACAATACTGCTAAAAGGTGTTTGAAACTTGTATAAAGCTTGTAGACTTTTAATTTAAAATATTAAAAAAATCCTATTTATTTGGGAAGTTGAAGGAAAAAAAAACTTAAAAAAAAAAAAAAAAAAAAATTAGATATTTAACATTTGTAAATAAGAAAAAAATGAAAATTAATATAATATTAATACTTCTTCTAATTAAAAAATTATAAAAGAAAAGTTTGTTTATTATTATTTTTTAAAGGTTTATTATTATTTTTTTACAGGTTAAACTTACGTAAATTTATTAATTAATGAAGATATTAATGAATCTAAATATGATATAAATCTACAACCCTCGGAATTAATATATAATATAAATCTACAACCTTGGAACTGCCGACCTGAAATTGTTTCTATGTTTTATGATCAGACCTTTGTATCAAATAATTTTTGCCGACCTGATGCCGACCTCAAAAAGATTGAGGTTGGCAAATTATTGCCTACCTCATTTTTCTTAATTCCGAGGGTTGAATCTATACAAATCTATAGATTTAAAAATTAAACTTTGATACAAAATTTCTTTATATAAAAATTATTTTATGTAATTATTATTTTTAAATGCTTTATTTGAATATCTTTTAAAGAAATTGTAGTTTGATAAGTTATATTAATTATTAATCTGAAATCATAAAAACCTGAAAATCAAAATTAAAAAAATAAATTATATTAAAAACCTGATGTCTTTAAATATATAATACAATATAATATGACTAAATATGTTGTCATATTTTTAATAATGCCTTTTTTTTAAAAAAGGTCCAAAATCACATAAATTTAATTGGATTGGCTCTAGCTGTCAAAAATAAGATTTTTTTTTATCTTCATATCTTAATAAAGTTGCATTTCTTTCATTATTTTACTAATTCTATAAGTTGCATTTCTTTCATTATTTTACTAATTCAATGTTATTTTATTGTTGTATAAAACAACAATCAAATAACATTGGATTGTTGTTTCATAATATACCAGAAAAACCTATTTTAACAATAAAATTTCTAGTTTTCATTTAATTAAGTTTGCAGACATAACAAATAAGTTATATAACTTAATTTTTGCTTGAATGGATGTAAATATTTACCTTAATCTTTGTTTGGCATCACAGCTGCTTATAACAAAATTTTATGTTAATTCTAAATCATTTATTTTTATATGTTAATTTTTATTCTAAATTTTACTGTTAAACATATTTTAATTTCATTTGATTTTAGTAACTTTTTCAATATTAAGATAAAGTTTAAAAAAATTTAGTTAAAAATTTCTAAAAGAAAATCTTTCAAACCTTTCCTAGAAAATTCATAAACAACATTAGGCAGTTATAAAGTTTTTGTTACAATTCAAATAAAACATTTTGTTTTAATTCAAATGAAACAATTTAATAAACTACTTTATGATTATTATTACGCTTGTATATTTTGCTTTAGATTTAAAGGCAAACTGTGGTAATTATACTAATTTTACTAATTTATCTGGAAAAATTCGTTTTCCGTCAATTGGTGAACATTATTCAAATAATATTGAATGCAAATGGGTAATTGATGTTACTCCTAACATACTTAGAGTTGAAATACATGATATAAATATGGAATATGAAAAAAACTGTGAATTTGACTATGTTGCTTTTTTTGATGATCCTAAATACAAAAATGAAAGCAGTCGATATTGTTCAAATAAATACCTCGTATTGTACCGCAAATTAGGTATACTATATATTAAAATAAAGACTGATCATATTGTTTTTCGATCTGGTTTTACTCTAACTTGGAACAGCACGATAGTAGGAGATTCACAAGTTCTTGGTATGTAGTTATATTTAAAATGTTTAATTATTATTCTAACATCAAGCTAGTATTTAAGTTTGTTATTAAGTTTGTGTTTTCTTTGTTTTGATATAATAGAAATACTATCTTTTCACTAAATATAAAAAGTAAAAAGAAAAATTGTGAATTTCATTAAAATTTTTATAAGTTTTTTTTAATTAGCTATTTTAAGTTAAAAAAAGAAAAATTATTAAAGATGGGGGTCTATTTGTTAAACATTTTATTGGGGTTATTTTTTTGGAAGTAAAAAAAAAAAATTCAGATTAGCTTTTATTAAGTAATTTAGAATTTTTGAAGAGAGTTCTGAAGGATGCTTTTGTAAGTCTATGATAGTAATGTTGTCTGGAACTCAAACCATAAAAAAGTTTAAAAGAGGACTAACTTTAAGAACAAAAGTTGAAATGTTTTTAATGTCTAGCAGTGAATTAACCCGTTTTTTGAGATCACAAAAAAGTGGGCATTCAAATTCAATCAAAGTTCTCAATTTTGTTTTTTTTCTCAATTTTGCTTTGTTCTCAATTTTGGCTTTTTGGTTCTCAATTTTGGTTCTCAAATTTCGTTTTCTCAATCAAAGTTTTTAGTTTTGGTTCGGTCAAAACTCATTTATACAACTCTTACAACTTTAAAACCATATTTTTAAGCAAAAAAGTAAAATGGTGTAATATGGTGTAATTTAACTTTTTAAAGCAATTTAAAAGTTTATTAAAAAAACTTTTTTTTTTGAAAAGTTATATAAAAAAAGATTTATTTTTTTTACTTTTTTGCTTAAAAATATTTTAAAATATATAATATATAAAATATATTATATGTTAAATATATAATATGTTAAAAAAAAGAGTTATGGAATTTATGTGTTTTCATGCTTAACATATGTTGTATATGTGTGTGTGTGTGAGTGTGTGTGTGTGTGTGTGAACTAAACATATATACATAACAAATATATGCATGTTTGATGTATATATATAGATATACATATATATATATATATATATATATATATATATATATATATATATATATATATATATATATATATATATATATATATATATATATATATATATATATATATATATACACATGAAATATGTATATATATACATGAAATATGTATATATACACATACAATTGTTTACATACCCATACATATATACATATATATATATATATATATATTTATATATATATATATATATATGTATGTATATATATATATATATATATATATATATATATATACATATATATATATATATATATATATATATATATATATACATATATATATATATATATATATATATATATATATATATATATATATATATATATATATATATATATATATATATATATATATATATATATATATATATATATATATATATATATATATATATATATATATATATATAAAAGTGTGCAATTGCATTCCAATTTTGACCACACATGCAATTTTTTTTTTGAAAGTTTGATCATGACTCTTTAGATAATTAAAAACGTGCTAAAAAACCAACAAAGAAACAAAATGGAACAAACCAACAAAGGAAAAAAATTATAAACAGGCTAGACTATAAAAAAAAGAAAGAAATCTTAACAAAAGAGAAATTAAAAAATATTAAGACCTATAACTCTAAAAAAATATTATCTAACATAAATTTGAAAAATTTAAACTCTAATAAAAATTATTTTTAATTATGTTTTGTAGTTATGTTAAAGTTGTATAACTCGTGGAATTGGTTCAAACTGATTTTTTTTTATATTAGGAAAAAAGCAAATAATTCATTTTTCTTTTTTTAATGTCTAAATAAAAATATTTGTATGATTATTTTTTTTTTTTTTATTATGTATTTTTAGATATCTATAAAAAGAAAAAAATAAATAAATAAAAAAATATACATATAAATAATTTTAATTAAATATCAAAAGAAAATTTAAAGAGATTTTTAAAGTTCTTCTAATGCAAAAAAATTCCAGTTATAACCTTTTCAAACCAACATGACAAACTATAAAACTTTGATACAAAAAAACTTGATGAACTTCTAATGTTTTTATAATATTAGGCACACTCTTTTAAGTTAAAAAAAATTACATCTAATTATCATTTAATAAAAAACTAACTGTTGTTTATAAAATACAAATTGTTTAAAAAAATTACATTTATCGTTAAAAACAAACTCTTTTGAAATAAATAAATGTTTTATTTAATATTCTAGGATAATTTATTTTATAGCGTTTTGAAACTATATTTAAAAGCATTTAGCTTAGCGTAAACAAATTTTATTCGAAAGTTTACATAGCATAACAAAAAAAAAAAACTTTGTTATGTTTTTGACTATTAAATTTATGGATTAAACAAAAAGTATATTAAAACAATTTTTTTCTTTGCTGTTTATAAAATTAATTGTAAATTTTGTTTTAAAAACATTTTCATTCATCCTAAATAATACTCTTTTTAACAATATAATATCTTTTGATAATTTAAATAAAATATTTTTTATGTATACAATCTTTATAAGCAATATATATATATATATATATATATATATATATATATATATATATATATATATATATATATATATATATATATATATATTTATATATATATATATATATATATATTTATATATATATAATATATATATGTATATATATATATATATATATATATATATATATATATATATATATATATATATATATATATATATATATATATATATATATATATATGTATATATATATATATATATATATATATATATATATATATATATATATTTATATATATATAATATATATATGTATATATATGTATATATATATATATATATATATATATATATATATATATATATATATATATATATATATGTATATATATATATATATATATATATATATATATATATATATATATATATATATATATATATATATATATATATATATATATGTATATACACGCACAGATATATATATATATATGTATATATATATATATATATATCTGTGCGTGTGTGTGTGTATATAAATATATATTCCTATATATTTTTAATGACTTTGTCTTAAAAGTGACAAAATGAAGTATATTTTATGTAAAAACCATTAAATATAATTAAGATAGCTGATTAAATTTTATCTTTTTTTAAAAAACTTTTTTCAAAAGTGGGTATAAGAATATAAATTATATTATGAAATATATTACAAAAGTAGTTTATCTATTAAGCACTCTTTAAAATATACATTATTATACATGATAATATAAAGAAATCATCTTTAATATTTACATATATGCACCCATGTATATATATATATATATATATATATATAAATATATTATATATATATATATATATATATATATATATATATATATATATATATATATATATATATATATATATATATATATAGTAAAAAATCTTGTTTTGTATAACAATAATTTGTATAGTAGTGTTTCATAAGAAGATTGTCTTCCTAATGTTAAGTATTTAGTTTAAATAATATCTGGGTATAAAGTTAATAACATTATTATTAAATGATTTAACAATTTTAAAAATGATTTTAACGAGCAGATATATAAAATGTGCATTATTTGATCGTTTTTAAAGATTAAAGTTCTTATTATTATTTTTTTTCTTCTATTAATTAAATAACGAATAAATCAGGCGAATCATATATTTGAAAATGCATTTTTGGTAAAAACTTTTTTATGTAACATATTTTAATTGCTATGCTATGTTATATAAGTAACTGCTATAGTAGCAGTTCATATAATACTTTAATTTTTTAATTTATTTAATTTTTTTTTTCAACATTTTTACTTCCAACAAGGCTACAAGCAGTTGGAAGTTGGAAGAGTTGGAAGCTACTGGAAGAGAAAAGATGAAATTTATAGAGCAAGTTAACAATTGACAGACAACTTTAAAGATTGCAAAATAAATGAATCTGGAAAACAAGATGAAGGAAGCAAATTCCAAAAAACTGGTGTTCGAGTAAAAAAAAAAATATATATATATATATATATATATATATATATATATATATATATATATATACATATATATATATATATATATATATATATATATATATATATATATATATATATATATATATATATATATATATATATATATATATATATATATATATGTATATATATATATATGTTTCCAAAAAAATGATGTTTGAGTAAAAAAAACTAGATGAATAAGAATTTTTGGAGCACAAAGAAACAGTCACGGTAATAGGATGAGACTTCATTAAATTACGAGTAACACAAGAATAAATTTTAGTAGATAACACAAGAGACGCTAGCTCTTTAGAGTAATCCCCATTCAAATATTTATAGAAAATAAAATAAAGAGAAGCAACATTATGACAATGTTCATAAATGAAGATGAAGGGTAGATGACTCATCAAGTACATTACCATTCAAAAATATAAGAAGATCTAGATTCTTCTGATAACGATTAGCTGAAAAAATTTAGTTTTATCGAGTCTGAAAGCCACTGAAAGCCCCATGCTGTAGTAGAAGTGAGATCATTTTCAAGCTTAAATGCCCCCTCCAAGCAAATAGAGAGTGTTGGTTTCTTATCATGACAAGAAGAAATGGTAGTGTCATCAGCAAACTAGTTCTGGGAGATTGTTAATGTAAATTAAAAAGAGTATAGGGCCAAGGATAGCACCTTGAGGAACATCTGAAGTTACTAGATATAAAGAGTTTTGCTGTCACTTGAGGACATCTTTTTTACTACAATTGGTAAGGAAGGATTCAATAATCTTAATGATGTTACCTGATACACCATAAGGTAAGAGCTTATGGAGAAGTCCAGCATGCCAAACTCTATCAAAAATTTTTGAAATGTCAAGAGCAATAGCCTTAGTCTATTTACATCTATTTAATGCACAATAAAACCGAAGGATCTTGGAATTAAACGGTAAATTTTAGCAAGATTGACGAAAAGAAA